CCTGTCAGATGTTCTTGGTTCGTCGCTTCGTTCGATCGAATAAAAGAATGTTAAAAAATACCATCTTCACGCTGCGCAATTCGTCTCGAACATTTCTAAATGCATCGAGGCATTCGATGATTTGTTCTGATTATTTTGCATTCCTGATGTCGTCATCAAGATGTTATAGCGCATTTTCATCAAATACGCAATCTAAATCAGGTATCTCGAAATTTACTTCAACATCTGTCATCTTTCCAGAAACCAACCTTTCAATAAAATATATCCTCTCTCAATCCTACTCAAGCGTCCAAAAAAATAACCATATCACATATTCACAATCTCTACAAAAGCAATGAACCCATAGCAGTAATAACAGCTCACGACTATCCGAGCGGATTGTTTGTTGAAAAGGCGGGAATTGAGATTTGTTTGGTTGGGGATTCTTTAGGCATGGTTGCATTGGGTCACCAAGCTACCAATCCCCTCACCATGGAGGTACGTGTCGCATTTTTTGGATAATGTCAATGCCCGTTCATTATTCACAAGCTCTTGTTCGCACAGGAAATGCTACATCATTGTAGGGCAGTTGCGAGGGGTGCAAAATCACCATTTTTGATTGGTGACATGCCATTTGGCAGTTATGAAACGAGTCCGACAGACGCATTAAGGAATGCAATCAGGTTTATAAAGGAGGGAAATATGGAGGTATGATCTAACCCCCGAAAGTCTTGTTGCTTTGGCGCGAATGCGGCATTTGAACTTTTTTTTTTTTTTTACCTGAAGGGCGTAAAAATCGAAGGGGGTGTTGAAATGTCCGAGACCGTAAAAAAAATCACAACCACTGGTATACCGGTGTTAGGACACGTAGGTTTGATGCCACAACGTCAAAGTTCTTTGGGTGGATATCGCGTTCAAGGAAAAACCGCAAAAAAGGTTGGTTTCGATCCTTTAAACATTCAAATTATGAATATTCGTTCCATTCTTTTAAATACATGCCCCCCCCAGAAAATGAACCGATTCGATTGACAGTTAAATTTTTTCTTAAATTGATTGAACTCTAGGCATTCAAAATTTTGGAAGATGCCTTAGCCTTGCAAGAATCGGGATGCTTTGCTATAGTTCTGGAAGCAATCCCCGAACAAATAGGGACCATCATTACAAAAAAG